ATATCCCCCCCCCAGACCATGTCTACTCGGGGCGGCAACATGTAAGTGACATCTCTCTTATGAGAGATGGCCTCAAAAACAACAACAACAAAATCATGAGCAAATATCTCCTATGGGGAGGATGTCAGGTGACAGTTGACATTGGGGTTGGGGGGAAGAAGCCTAGGCCTGCTTCACTCAGGTCAGCCTGCACGTCAGCCAACAGCTGTAAACATGGAAGCTAAAAATATGCTCAGAAGCAACAGCATAGCCCCCAATATCAGATACTAGGGGAAGCCCACCAAGATACTACGTACTACTATCGCTCTTGATTTCTGTGATAATTCTCATTTTACAGCTGAAGAACTAAAGTTGAAATACCTTAACTCAGGTCTGCATGTGACACCCCTCCTGGGCCCCCAGGTTCATCCTCCAGCACTCCTGTGGTCCTCAGCCCCAAACCTCTGTTCACAAAGTTCCTTATGCCCTCTAGGGAGCATGGTGAGGCATGTTTGGGGAGTAGCTCCAGCCCCCACAGCCCCAAATTATTATTTTTAATCGGCCACTAGAAGGCAGGAGCAAGCGTCAGCCATTAAAAAAAGGGAAGAAAATGTTTATGGAGTTTGTGGGTGTGCCTTGGTGCAGTTGCAGCTCTTCAGGGTCCAAAGGTGATCATGTGTGACTCCTGGACCTTTAGATGATGTCCATCTGCCTTAGTGTGTGGTCACAACTTGAAATGAAAGATTTATTCCTGGGGCTGTCTTTCTCCCACTCATATAATCTTTGTTGTTGTTTAGTTGTTAAGTCCTCTCCAACTCTTCTTGACCCCATGGACCAGAGCATGCCAGGCCCTCTTGTCTTCCACTGCCTCCTGGAGTTTGGTCAAATTCATGTTGGTAGCTTTGATGACACGGTCCAACCATCTCATCCTCTGTCTTCCCCTTCTCCTCTTGCCTTCACATTTTCCCAACATCAGGGTCTTTTCCAGGGAGTTTTCTCTTCTCATGAGATGGCCAAAGTATTTTGTAGCCCCAGTTTCAGGATCTGTCCTTCCAGTGAGCACTCAGGGTTGATTTCCTTCAATTTTTTTCTCTCTTTGCAGCCCAGGGGATTCACAAGAGTCATGAAATACATGCATACAAAAACAGATTTGCTGATTCCTGCATTCAGATAGTGTGTGAGATGGTGTCTGTAGTTATGTTAACATTAAGGAATGGTTTTAATTTCTTCGGTTCAATAGTAGAGAAGACATCATTAACGTTTCCAAAATAACATTGTCTGTAAACACATAGAGCTTATTTCCTTAAAGGCACTCCTCAAATTTGATTCCTGTAAACATCTGGAAAATTTGGATGGCGTGCAAGAGGAAGGCCTTGTTTTAGTGTTTTCCAAAATCATTAACTTAGGGCTGTGCCTTTTTGGATCAAAGGGCCCTATCGAGTCCAATCTAGTGGTATCCAGCCTAGTGGTTAAATCAGACTCAGAAAATCAGCACATTTGGACCCTGTCCAGTGACTCAGTGCATTGCTCAGAGCTGACCATACTCTATGATTTGTTACTTTCCCAAGGCCTTAAGTGTTCAGTTCATCTGAGACTGTTTCTGTTTCCTGGAAGAAGAAGACAAAGAGATGAAGAGTGAATTTTGCTAAGGTTTCAACCAGCATTTGGAAGGGTTGCTTTATTTGGGTTACAACTCCTGGAATCACTCAGCCTGCGTGGTTTTTTGGGGATTTTTTATAGTTACAGTCCAGAAACTAATTTGGTCAAGCTCTGGTTACAGTTAGCCAGAAAACAAACCCATCCAGTATTCAGGTGCATCTATCTGAGCTTGGCAGGAAAAAGAAAATAAAGTTTGTTTCCTCCTCTTTTTTTCCATTTTATATTGCACATTTACATATGTTTTAGACATAGGTTTCACATAGATATATGTGCTGGAGGATAATGTTTTTGAAGCTGTTTTCCACATGCTCAGCCAGGGGAATTGAGCATCACTACCCTACACTAGATGAAGAGAGGGAGTGGGTTGGCAACAGCATCAGAACGAACTGATGAGAAGCAACCGTACATAGATAAAAGCTCAAGTAGGCTTCCATCCCCTAAAATTCCCTGGTTGGCCAAGCCAGTTTTGTCACTGCCTGCCTACTGGCACAGACTGAGTCTCTGCACTTGCCTGCTAGCCTGTCTCAGATAGAGAAGAAGGATACTCCAAATAAGAGCTGAGAAGCAGGCAGTAGCCATTCCAGGCCAATGTTCTCTGCTCCCCTACCCCCTGATTCTTGTCAGAGAGGCTGTGGGTCTCTCAGCTTGGTCCTGGGCCCTCCTAGTGTGTAGATCCACACATCATTTTGTATGTGTACATGTCCATATGTGAAGATGTGATAAAACAGTACAAGTGCTCATGTTTCCTGCATGCTCCATTCCTTGGTCTACATAACACAAGCAAAGGATGATCAAGTGTGACAATGAAGAGGTGGGTAGTCATAGCTCTACATGTTTGAACAGCCACAGTCAGCAAAGCCAGTGGTGAGAGACCATGGAAGTTACAGTCAGATAACACCTGGAGGTACCCCGCTTGCCCACTTATGATACCAAGCAGTGACACACTCCTCCGTCAGTCCCCATAAGCATGGACAGTGGTGAGGGACGACGGCAACTGCAGTGCAACGTCCCAAGGTTTAATGCTTCCCATTCTTGTCCTAGCAACAGTTTGTCACTTAAAAAGCATGAGCAACATCACTGCAATTTGGCAGAACCCCTGTTCAGTTGCTAGGAATCTGGCTGGGTAATTGCATGCACAGGGAAAGTGATCTGGCCCTACCTTCATCACTGCAATTTCCAGTCTCCCTCCAGACATACTGTAAGGTGCCTTCTTCTAAAGAGGAGACATTTCCTTGTCTGTGAACACACACTGTGTGATCAGGAATGTTGGAAAACCAGCATTCTTAGTTGCACGAAGTGTGTTCTCAGATAAAGAAGTCTCTCTTTTTCTAGAGATGGCACCTCCACATATGGAGGGTGGTGGGAACCTGTGATAGCAGAGGCTGGAGTTAAATCACTGTCGC